GGAGGGGTGGATGTTTTGTTTGGGGGGAGTTATAGCTAATATTGGGGGTAGCACCCCCCAGAAAATCCGTCTATGATACATACATAGCAGGTCACAAAGCTGACCATGCATAAACAATGCAGTCTGGGGACTGAGTATTAGTATTTAGTAATAGTTTAAATGTATTTTATTCAACGTAAATTTATTACCACTGATTTTTGGGCTACCTAGGATAATACTAAATGCAGTACCGGTATTGATTTTTATTTATTTATTAAAATACTGATATTTTTCCATAGTCAAAGCAATAAGAAATTTGAACGGTCATTCAATTGGACAATACAGAGTACATGGAGGAAAGACTGTTCCTATTGTGAAGGGGGGAGAAGCAACAAAAATGGAGGTGAATGATTTGTCATTATTTTAAATCTCCTGAATATAATTTAGATGTTACATCTATCCGTTGAGCATCAAAAAATGAAGAGGGAAGGCAAGGGCATAGGAAGCATCAAAAGATTGGGGGGGGGGGGCACCTAAAAAATTTTCCCCAGAAATATTGGTAATTTCAAATTGCAACATATATAATGAACATTTTTTATGAAATTTTTTTAAAAACATCAAAATTTCTTGTCACAAAGGTCACCTTCGTTGTTAATATAATATTTACAGCAACATTAGCTTGTACAAAAGGGGCATTTTTATCACAAAAGACTTTTGGTCCTTTGAAAAAATTGGGTAGGGGCACGTGCTGTCGTGCCCCCTCCCCCAGTTCATACACCCCTGGAGGAAAGGCAGGCCTAACTGATGGCAAATGCCCACCTGATTGCAGATTGCTGACCTATCGTTATGTCAGCACATCAAAAAATTGCTGGCCTATGAATTTGCATGCAGTGTGAATGTAGAGTAGGGCAAAGGAAAAAAAGCAGGCAAAGTGATGAATGTGCTAAACTACAGTAACTTCTAATCACCTCTAAATCTATTTCTGTAATATTTAGGAAAATGAATTCTACGCTATCGAGACATTTGGTAGTACTGGTAAGGGACAGGTTCATGACGATATGGAATGTTCACATTATATGAAGAATTTTGATGCTGGACATATACCACTAAGGTATGGAAATTTTCTTTAACAAACTTTCATTGGTAGGGACGCAACTACTTGAAAAATATAAGGAGAATTTTTGACATTTTGAGCGAAGGCCCTTCACTCAAAACAAAGTGCCTTTGCTCAAAATTCTCCTTATGTTTTTCAGGTAGTTGCATCCCTTCCATCAACGAAAGCTTGTTAATACTTTTGGCACTACCTAGTATCTACACTGGCAAAAACGTTCATACGTTCTCAAACTCTTCATTCTGCTAATAACTCTAGCACGACTAACTTCATGCTGTTTCTTGAAGCTCTCTATATAAAACATTTTTCACTTAATTATTCTGACTCTCACTTGCATATATTCCTTCACATGTCTGATTTCACGCCTCTGTCGTTATAGTTCTGGGGCCGGTTGTATCAAGCCCGTTTAGCTTAAACGGTGGTTAAGCTCAAAATAGAAAGCAAGTCTATAGATTCATTAAACGACCAAACTAAAAGTTTTGAACCTTAATAGAACGACAATGTTTACAACTATATATTCAGTGCAGAATATTTAAGTTGACTGATTCACGAAAGACATAAGAGTGTTATTTAATTTTGACTTATCCACCGTTTAAGCTAAACGGGCTGGATACAACCGGCCCCTGGTTGCTAATTCCATTATTATATCCAGTACATATTAATACTGTATGTCCAGTATTGCAAAAAACAGTACTTGCTTGTTCAAAAAGCAGGCTTGATCAAGGAAAATTTGTATCTATCCTCACAGGTTACCACGAGCAAAGCAGCTGCTAAATGTTGTCAATGAAAACTTTGGAACCTTGGCATTTTGTCGGAGATGGTTGGATCGTTTGGGGCAGGTAAGTCGGTATAGAAAAGTGTATTTCAGTTGGTATTTAACCCATTAAGTGGCAATGCACCCTAATGTGTTTTAATATTACTCTATCTAACACCAGACAATTTCGGCTTGTCAAGGAAAGTGCTGCCAACTTGATGGGTTAATTTTATCTTGATTTTGTGCCATCTTGAGAATCCCAGATTTTGGATAATTTTATATGCAGTATAGCAAAATATCTGCTGTTTCTCTTAAGACCAAATACCTGATGGCTTTGAGGAATCTTTGTGATTCTGGATTAGTGGATCCATATCCACCACTTTGCGATATCAAAGGCAGCTATACAGCTCAATATGAACATACGTTGATCCTAAGACCTACGGTGAAGGAAGTACTAAGCCGGGGAGAGGATTATTAGATTTACAAATGATGCACAGATTTGTTGTGGATTAGTCATGATGAAGTGACAAAGGAGCCGCATCTGGAATACTATGTGTAACGGCACTATGCGCCAAAACCAAGTGGTAAAACTATAATTGTGTCTTTAATGTATCATATAGAAACTTTGAAAAAGTATTGCGATATTTGTTTTGAACATGGTGTAATAAATGGAATGGTAAAATGAATTTATTGCAGACGTGTTGGTCCACGTACATACAAGTCAGTGGCGGACACTTATGAGGAGGGCTTTATTTAATAGATTGGCATCATAATGCTATGTGATCACCTTTTGTTGCTGGAAATCTTACCGTAGTTATTTAATTAAACTGCAATAATTTAATATATATATATATATATATATATATATATATATATATATATATAAAATTATTGATCTCATAAAGTGTGTCTAAGTACCACCATGAATATTCGGTTATCATCCGGTAAACCATGATCCAGTACCATTTGCTATCCAGCAAAGCAGTATCAAGCACATCTCTAGAGGTTGCCCCTCGATCTCGCCGTCCCCTAGTGTCCGCCACTGATATAAGCCCTAGATTAGAAGTTAGTGTACAAGCAAAAAAGGCTTAATTGTCAAAAAAACTGTACATGCTGAGTAATTATTCAAGTTATTCTAGATAAACATTTCATTGCATAGCCAATAGTTAAATGAATTGTACTTGGCATATATATATATACTGTAAAATAATGTTAGCAGTCTATTGAGAGCTCTGGTTTGAAGGATATACAAACCTTAAAAATATAAACAGAACATCAATGTTTCAAGCAAAGGCCCTTCATGGGGAAGTTAGTAGCAAATAGTGCACTCTAAGGCTGACAAGTTGGTTTGATTCAACAATCGTCATCACAGATAATAAAATATTCCCACTGATAGTCTTAAAACAAACAGGCTGTTTTTAGCCCTCTTGGGTCAAAATTTCCGAAAATTCATCAATTTTCTGTGAAGGTGGGGGACGGTCCCCCGCCCCCCACCGAGAATTCCACCACTGATTTTGAATCACTCTTGACACAATTAACAATTATTCGCCGAAGGCGAGGTGATTATCGGTGAATAAAAACCGAGACGAAGTCGAGGTTTTTATTCACGATAATCACCGAGCCTGAGG